AGATATCCACAGCTGGCCTGACTTTTTTAGAGGAGGTCAAAGCAAACCAACATGGTCAACTTTTTGGGAATGAGTTTTTGATCAAGTGACTTAGTTTAAAAAAACCTAAACCAATTAACTAACCATCTGTGGCCTAAAGGGGTTTAATATTAACTAAATAAACAGCTGTTTCGATTGAAGTTGTGTAGAAAATATACTGCAAGAATGCTGAAAAGTATCATAATATTGTGGTAAATAGACAATGCTGAAAGGCATTATGTGTAATGACGAATCGTCGCTTGAATGAAGTTCGCAGGTGTTTTATCAAGTAAGGCAGAGCCACGAATGTATGGATTTACAATTTTTCCTGCCATATGATAATGATTGAAATTAGTACATCAGCACTGAAAGTTTTTTGTTTTCCTGTCGGCAAAAATATAAACCTGTGATAATATTATTGAGAATTATTTTGTTTTCTCAGATGTAGGCAGCAGGAACAGGACACAAGTTCCTGCCAAACTAAATGCAAATATATCTCTGCATATGTATCAAGACGTCATTAATGGAGAGTTCAATCTGGGATTTGTGCCTCCACGCATGGACACTTGCGCTAAATGCAACAAGTTATGCCTGTCCATTAAGGCGCCTGTGGGAACTGCGGAGAAAGAACAGAAGGCGAAGGAACTGGCAAATCACCAGAAGAAGGCCCTGCCTGGCTATGAAATGAAGAGGGAAGACAAGCAGGAAGCTGGAATGAAAAAGCACGATTTCCAACAAAATCTCCAAACGCCAAATCTGAAGCACAATATGTTCTATAAGCGCCAGTTGTGGATGTACAACTTTGGAATCCATGACTGTGTGGCCGACCAGGGGTACACGTTTATGTGGGAGATTGCTTCCTGCTTACATCAGTTTCTCACCGAGTTTAACACAGGAGCGAGGTATGTTTCAGTTATTTCCTTTACAAATCTCAGATTCAGAAAAACTGCCAAGGGATTGTTTAAGACAGTATTTCTGGCAAGCGATTTTCAAGACTTTTGTAGCGCCAAAATGACAAACTTTATTTGAGGAAATACCTGGTTTCAAAAATTGTAAATAGATATAAGTGGGCAAGCGTTACTAGTGTTGGCCACAAGTAAAACAAACAGGAGTGTTGTTAGGCATTACAACATTCGTTTTTCTCTAACTGTGATGTACAGTTTTCTATGATGCACTGTAATAATTTTAAGATTTAGGACTGTTTATTGTTTATTTATTGATATAGTTAGAATGTTAGTCATTAATTGATCATGTATGTTTTCTTTAGATATTTTTGATATTTTTCTTGGCATATTAGCATGACTGTATTGCTAGGGGCCTAATCAGCCTCATCAACCTGAGTTGAAATAAAGTTACTTACTTACTTACTCACTGCAAAAATGACACTTTTGCACTTTTGCCAAACACTAGTTTTGGTTTTATTTGTTCTTGTGGATATATTATTTGTAACCATTAGATTCAAGCTGTGTGTTTAAACACTATGATCCATCAAATATTTTCACTTGCATGCCATTGACCTAAGTTCTTCATGTGACTGAATATTCCCCTAGCTAAGACTGGCAGATATCCGCGTGATATTCGCCACTTTTCAAAATTGCGCATGCTGTGAAAAATATTTAAAGGATAATAAACAATAGCCTCCATTTTGCACGAAAATATGCTTGGATGTTAATCCCTGGATATTGTGGAGGCTATTGTTTATTTAATAATACATTTACCATATCTTTTATAGGTCGCTTCTAAGCTACTCTGATGGCTGCATGGGCCAGAACAAAAACCTCACCATCATTAGTCTCTATGCAGAGCTGCACCGAACTGGTGTGCACAAGGTACTCAACCACAAGTACCTCATGAGGGGACACATGTTCCTACCAAATGACATCGATTTTGGCCAGATTGAGAAGAGGAAAAAAATGCCACAGTGCACCTCCCTGAAGACTGGTTCAGAGTGGTTAGGGAGGCAAACCAGCTTAAACTGTCCATCGTCTGCGAGATGAAACAGCTGGACTGTTAAGACTGGACGTCCTTCCTCAAGTCCAGGTACATGGGTGATAGTAAATTGATAATAGCAGGGTGGGTTTCAGGGATGAGATTTTTGATTCTGATGTCAACATATGTATATATGTATACTGCACTAGTTATGCAATGTTTTCGAATGGCATGCCTTGAAATATTCCACGAGTGGGATATTCACGGTATGCCACAAGAAAACATTAGGGCCATTTATACGAGAAAAATAATCCGCGGCTTACACAAACCGGGGATTAAACAAGACATGAACTTGCCGCATAAACGGTACATTTTAGCCAGTTCATGTCTTACACGAGCCACAGATAACATAAGCTGCAGCTTGTGTAAGACGAGGGTTTTGAACTCGGCTTAAGTAAGCTTATGTAAGACACAAAGCCACTTGTATAAATGGTATTACATCTTGTTTGCGGCCTACGTAAGACACGAACTCACACTGCGCAAGCATAAGTTTTTCCTACGCTTGCTCGAGATGCTTGGATGTGATAGTTGATGGCTTATCCGTGAGGAGTACAGGCCCAAAAAAGCAATTCCTGGCAATATACAGAAGAGAAAGAGTTTCTTGAGATATGTAAACAACAAAGGGTGACAGACAAGCTGGACAATTGCATAACTTCTGCAGGCATAAGTGAAATGTTTGTCATGAAGTGAGTGGACAAATTTGTTCAAACTTTGAAGGTTTTTGTTTGTTCATGTGTCACTTTTGACCAATGAAAGGTTACTATGTCATGAAATTTACAATGTTTAGCATATTTTGTCACTTGCCAGGTAAGTTTTGCCTGAGTCTCTGCATGTTTGGTTTGTGTTTCTTTGCAATGGAGATTCAAAACATGTCAAAGTATGGAAGGAGTTCTCATTCAGGATTTTTCATCCTGTGTATTATCAAGCTTATCAGGTGAAGATTTCACATTCTCAATCATTGACAGAATTATACAGGATGGAGGTAACCAAATTAAGCTTACAGGTTTAAATTCTGTGGAGTTTGAAACAATTTGCACTGCAATAGTGGTGCAGATACTGCCAGGCCAGACATTTGAAGGATTGTACAGGAAGACGACCTTGAACTCAACTAACTTCCTATCTATGTCAATTTCTGAAATCATCGAGGAGTTTATAGAGAAGGTTGGGAACGACAAATTTCAATGTCGGCCGCTTCACGGGCTTTAAAAACGGGCTCACTACTATCGGGTCAGCAAAATTCCATGACTCAAAGTTTGTCTTTACAATCTCACATGAAATAGCTGCTGTTACTGTAATATTAAACTCATGAAACTCTTTGGCAGATTTATAACACTCGCCCAGTATCTCCAATTTCCACTTGAATTTACAGCTTCATTTTGAATTTACACAACCATGGAAAACCAGAGAAATTTAATGTTGATAACACTTGAACAAAATCACCAGATAATCAGTGTTGTAAATTTAATGTCATAGTCATCAACGTCTCCTTGGTCAAGTGACACATGGACTCAAATGGTTGCATCATGTCATCAGGATAATTTTGTTGCACTTGAAAGTCTGCTGAAAGTCACCAATTTAGATAATGTTTTCAATGTTATACTGTTGTTGCTGGATTGTTATTTGGTCAAAAATAAAATGTGAAGTGTTTCAATATGGAGACAGAGCATGTACATATATCGCACAGGTAATTCTAGAAAAGTTTTAATGGAAACCTTCCACTTAAAGTATGCTTAACAAGTGTCAGCTTAAATTGCCACAGTGATATTAAGTGGTTGTTATGTAAAATATTTTTAAAGGCATATCATTGTAAAGGAACCAATATAAATTATTTACAGTTAAAGTAAAGCAGGTTCCATCCAGGGTTTAAATTCTGTTATACCATGCCAAAGAAAGAAAGAAAACAGTCCAGTAAGTTGTTGTTAATGAAAGCTAAACCAGAAATTTAATTAAATAATTTACCCAAGTTTGTTTGAGGAAAAGTTTGTTGAAGCTAAATATCATTATGATTTTTCAGATCAAACATGGAGTGGACAGAGGAACGTGACAACCGCTTGTATCAAGAAATTTTAGTACTTGAACCCTTTAAGTACAAAAAAGGAAGCATTTCTTGAGGCCAAATCTGGGAAAAATTTACAAAAAATCTGAATGGCCTTAAGTTTCCCCGAATCGAAGTCAGTACGTGTGCTGTTAGAAAGAGATAAAGACTGCTGAGTGAGAAATTTAAAGCAAAGATGAAAGACGAAGAGAAGGCAAGTGGAATTGAAAAAAAAAGTGCAGCTGGAGACACCGAGGAAACTGACCATAAGAAAATTGACAACGCAAAAGCAGTGGAAATGGAAAGCTTGGGCAGAACACAGACAAGGTAACAGAATGAAGAGGAGAACGTGAAACTAAAGCACAAAATTCGTAGAAGTGGAGGTGACACAATTGCATATTTGTTAAAAAAAATTATCTTGTTCAGAAGTGGAAAGAGCAAGAATTGCAGCTGCAAAAGCAACCAGTTGAAGTCGAGGGTAAACGGGAAGATCACTCAAGAAAACAACATCAGGATATAAAGAAAATCTTGCTAGAACAAACTAAGCAGCAACAACAGCAGATGCAAAATTTTCAGCAGTTTTCAAAGGGCCATTGGTTCTCTTGTTGTGGAGAAGGCATGCTGCTCCAGATTGCAAAGTAGACCAGAATCAGCCAGCATACCTGAATCATGCCTTCTACCCTCTTAAAGAGATCAGATTAATGAGTATTTTACTTCAGTGAAGTCAGGGTATAATACTTCCAAATCTCCCCCTCCCAAAAGAGAAAAAAACGACAAATTAAATTAAAACAATTACCTACTGGGCCGTACATGTTGGCTATCATGCCATTAGGTAAGACAACAGACTGGTACTTGAGACCGTGTACTTGCTTATGTCAATTATAAACGACCCTCTGGTTTTGGTCGGGTCAACAAATTGGCCTTACTGTTCCATCTATAAAACCAAAGCAATTGCATAATGGACTTCCTTTTGAGTCAATCGCATGGGCATAGCTTTCAAGAAGTGGAGGGTTTAGAAACATATTATTCCACTGAGTTAGTCTGTGATTGTGCTCTTGATAAACTGTATCCATCACAAGGTTGAATGTCATACTCAGCTCTGCAACTGGGCGACCAAATTGTGGAATTAAATTGCTGTATCTGCATGGGTAAGGAAATTGTCTCAGTTTCATACAAAGCACTTCTACTCCATCACAGTGAAAGACTGAGGGAGCTGCAAGGTCTCTAAAAGGACAGGAACATCATTCTTATGAAAACAAAACTCAGCCAAACATTTGCTGTCAGTGTTAAAGGGGAACTCAAGGCTAATTTTAACTATTTTTTGTATTGATGTTAACATAGGATGGATCAATTTGACAGCAATAATTTATATTGACGATGAATGATTTTATGAAAAAATCCATCCAAAGCTTCAGATTGCACCCGCCATGTTCCTTTTCATCGCGGGAGCTTAAACGACCAGCGGATTAAGATGTGACGCCAGATCGTGATGCCACATTGCTTCACTTTTGTTTTGCTTGGGGAGTTTAGCGAGCTGAACTGAGTATATTGAGCTAGTTTAGTTTCAGCCGCTTCAAAACGTCTGACGACGAAACCACTTCGCATTCATCTCAATCAAGTCTTTCTATTGACGATGAAAATATGCCTGAAAATGTGATTCTGCCGTACCAGTTCGAACCAGAGTTTTCTTCCAACGAAGGTGTAGAAGAAGGAGAATTAGAAGAGGAGCATCAACACGACGATGAAAATGCTCGTACCAGAAATTCAGACTGGTGAGAGTTTCTAGATATATTTTCTAACTTAAGCAATGCAATTTAACTGAATCGTCGTGGCACACCATGAATTAAACAGTGTTTGATGTTTTGGAGATGCTGTGAAGATCAAACGCTCATGTGCTTGAGAATTGTAAACAAACACAATAAAATAAAAATAAAACTAAAGTCGCTCTTGCATGTTTTTGTCCGTTTTATTCATAGCTATTGTGATCTCACAAGCATTTAGAGAGGCAATATCCACTGCTAAGCTATATTTTAGACCTTACTAAACCAGTTTAAAATCACCCTCCTGGAGTAAAGCTGGTTGTACCGCGATTCTGTAATATTGAATCCCAGTTCCTATCAACAACACAATATACTCCATTTATTGTAGAACCGTAACAAGATTATGAAACATAATTTTTAAGCTAACCTACTTTTTTTAGAAAAGGAACGATTGCCATCGTTACCTCTGAAATGAAACAAATAACTTTTAATTTAGTTATTAGTAACCTGTATGTTTGGTTTGTTCTAGTGCTGACAAACTGAGCGGTGTTTGAGCTTCCAAGTGGTTCTGGTTCTTGTTTAGAAATCAGAGAAAAACGCATGTAAGGCTGTTTTCTATCACAATCAGAACGCAAAAATGTTATATCAGATTAGATTCTGCTATTCTTCTTCAAAAGGATAGGTTTGCAGCCCCCTTTTAATTTACAAAGAAAATATTACTGACAGAATCTGTTGCATACCTATAACTAGGCCAGATTCTCAGACATTAAATGATAAAGAACCTTCTAAGTTATCCCGAAAAGTTTGGTTATGTTTTTAGTGTGCAATAAATCCGAGTCAAACAAAGCTTCTTTACTTTAAGTGTACATGTGGAAATTGCCAAATACTGAACAGAAATGAGGAATGTACGTGCTGTTTAGAGTTTCCTCAAATGTGCGACAAAAACAGTCACGCAGTAGAGATGGGGGAGGTTGCTGAAACCCCAGTTTGTATAACTCAGCATCCAGGTTTCCAAGCTGTTTTCCAAGCTGTTTGTCTCAACAGATGGGTGCTGCAGACAGCCTGGTACCAATATAAGCAGCAATATTCTCAGTCCTATGGAGGTCCCCAACATAAACTTAACAGGCACATAGCCTATCGTCAACTTGTCAGATGCTGCTGGGGTATTCTTGGCAAAGAAATGAGTCCCTTTGCCATCATGTGCAGTGTGTTGCATTAGAGCACACTTTCCTCCACCAGAATTTGAAGATGACTTCCAGTTCGAGGGTTTTCATTTTCCAGATAAATAAGAAAAAGCAGGTTCATATGGTGACAAAAAAATTATGCACCCTTTGTGCTTTGACTCTATGTTTTAAATTTGATTTTTTTTGGTAAAAACCAATAATATTAACCATTAGGACATCTACAGTCATCCAAAGTCATTGTTGTTTTGTAAACAAATTATATAATTTCTTAGGGAAAGTCCCACAAAGAAACAAAGATTAAAATACATGTTCTACTGTTTGTAAAAACAGGAAATGATTTTCTGTCTTTTACCTCATACACAAATGCTAATTGTTTTTTTGACTTTGCGGGGGGATTGGTTTTATTTTACAAATAAAGAAGGCTAAGCCATGTATTACACTGTGATAAAAGATGACAGGCATTTTAGAACACAAGGGAAATGTAGAGAATATGAGCCGTAGGTGAATAGTGTTTTCTACATTTCTCGAGTGTTCAAATGTCCGGAGTATTTTATCACAGTGTAACACATGGCTTAGCCTTCTTTATTTGCCTTATGATATTGAGGTGATGGGGCGAAAAACAATAAAGCACACTTTTTCTATGTTACTCAGATAAAACTGGGTTTTTGACCAATCAGAGCGTGCCCAGGGTCATATCTATATTATGATGGATGATAAAATGTCATGTCAAAACAATCCAAATCCCTTCAGTGCAGAGATCACTGATTCCCCTGGGAAACAATAGCTGTAATTAACGACTCTCATTCATTTGAGTTGTACTTGATCACAGTTGCATGCAAATTAGTCCACATTCGTGCAGCCAAATTGTAGGGTTTTTATCGGTTAAACCTGGTCCGGTGTTTATGGAAAAGTTCTTGTTTTCTTGGAGGTGCACTCCCTGAGATGTTTTTGGGGAGATGGTGTGCTTCAGGTTCAATTTCAACTTCACCGGTTTCACAGGCATTGGTAACAGTGTCCATCAAAACCATAACATGTGCATAGGACTTTTTTTTTTCTTCTATTGGCTTAGCCACCCACTGTGCCTTTGGGAAGCTAACCTTGCACCTGGCTTCACCAGCACGTGGCCCAGATTGGATGACTGCCTGCTTTCTTCCACAGTTTGCATTGTGATCGAGTGCTGTGAGTTGTGCGTGTGCCACCATGCCTTTGTGTGAAAAATGCTCACGCTTTGGACAGTACTTCAAATATTCAGAGTGATACACCTCAAGCTCTCCAGTGTGGCAAAATTCAGTCAGCTTCTCAATGTCCTTGAACACCCCCTCCTCAAGGGCAACATAGGCAGGTATCAGGCTTCAGCTACTTCCTTTTCCTGATCTGAGCACTGGTCAGTCTTGGATGGCAACACTCATGAAAGTGGGTGTAGCCATTCCACTTGTGTTTGTTTGTCACATGAAACAGGACTGCCACTTTTCTTTCAGCACTTCAGCATTGCCATCACATGTTGCAGAACACCACCACATGTGGTTCGACACTGAACGGATCCATGGAAGGAGATCTTCACATCCTTTCACTTTAGCCTTCTTGGAAAGTTTTTTATCACCCACTTTGACAAATGCCAAGCATCATGCTGGTGGTCAATTTCACCATGGTCCTTTTTAATGGAACTTGAGATGAAAGTATGGTGGTCGGTGGCACTTCTCTTTATGGTGACTTCTTCTCTGGCAAGGTCGTGAATGCACCTCTTGAACCCTTCCTTTTTCATCACATTAGATGAAGTTACCTCTGTTATCTGTACAACATTGAATGCTGCCACCTTTCCTTCATCTGTCATCATAGTGTATGTGCAATATTTGGCATTGTGACCTGGACTGTCACACCTTCCATCCCCAATCAAATTGACTGGCCCTTTCCTGTTAACTTCATCTAATACTGAACTCCTTTCCTGTTTCCAGGCTTTGTGTACCACAGGAAAAATACTTGTTTTGTATATTGTAATATGTGGTATGGCTGAAGAACTTAAAATTTAGGAAGAATGAAAACTGGACAATATGAGAAAATGTATTGCCACTAAACAGAATGGCAGCTGAGGAGAGTAAATTACCTGCTGCAATACTTTTTATCAGTGGCTGTGAATTCCAGCAAGTCAGATGGTTATTGACACACAGCATTTTCACTGAAAACATACTGCCACTAGTTGTTTCAGTGGATTCAAAAATGGTTCCACCACATTTTGAACAGAATTTTAGAAGTAACTTTAGGCATGTCTCAAAAACCAGGAATTTTTGCTCAGGGTGTCCTTCTGAATCTAACTCATAATCTGTGTCATCTGAAGATGAACCTACATTATCAGTCATTTCACACTTGTATTCCTCATCATCATCATCATCATCATTCACAACCAAGGGAGACAGTGGTGGATCAATTGGGGACTCCTCACCTGATGGATAGAATTGTTCAAACAGGGTACGTTTCTTTGGTTTACTGTCAGTGTTTATATTTTCTTCAGATTCCTGTTTCTTTTTGTCAAATTTATAACAATCAACAGGTCGAAAGCCAGGGTAAATTCCCCCACA